TAGATAACTAGCTATTCAGTCTTAATTGAAAGAAGGATTCCAAATGTGATATAAAACAGGCTTTAGTAAGAAGCAGTTTCACTCACCTTGTGCGAGTCCTGATCGTCCAAGATGCCAACAGCCTGATTTTCCAACTTGAGGTTGCGTTGACGCAGACGTCTGTAGTTGTGCATGGCGTCGCTTCGACAGGTCCATTCACTGGCCTTTTCCAGCACTTCTCTCACCGCCTGGCTGAAGCTGTTACGGACATTTGCGAAGCAATAGTCTTCAGCAAACGCACCTCTCCTCTCTATGTGCAAAACCCTGGTTTCCATAGAAAGGCTTGGAATGTTATACTTGAAATCCTTGCTGCTGTCATTTGTCATCTTTGTCTCCTTGTTGAACACGTGTCCACCTTCAAACTCTTCGTCATCGTCTTGGAAAGTGACTCGGTATTGGTTATTGGATTGTTTGGCAAAAGCTCTTAATTCCTCGTCATCAGAAGATGAATCTCTCTTCTTCAAATATTCCTCGGTGAGACGATGTCCATTTCTAAATTTCCTTGAACACGTTGCCTCGACATCGTCCATGTCTTCTACATCAATCGAAAAATGTTTTCGATTATGGCCCTCCTGCGGAACATCAAAGTTATGTATATTCTCTTTGATGTGATTGTTTCTAGAATGTATTTTAGACAAACGCCTCTATATGTATATTGAACATGTAGACACAAATTTTCAATTGAGTTCTAATATTATACTCTTTACTCCCTCAAATACACACAGTACTGAACACAGAAACATTCCTAACTATATTCATATTACAATATATTCACGTATAATCTTCCGAACGTATACACAGATGACCTACCTTCTTTGGAGCCAAAATTTTAAGCACACCGTCAGAAGACATGACTGAAATGACAGCCTCAAGCTCAATGTCTCCAGGAACAACGAAGCGCCGAAGGAACCGCTTGCTGGACTTGGAACCGTCTTCCTTCTTCTCCAAGTGACCTTCGACCACCAACTCTCGCTCGTTCACAGCCTTCACGCTGATCTCTCCAACGTCCATAAAGTCGTGAACATCAATGACAAACTGAAAAAGAAAATACATGACAAAGGTTCATTCAGGCAGTTTCTCATGATGTTTCAAATAACATTTTTTGGCAGAGAAACAGATTATATAATTAGCCTGTCTGTACCTTATAATGGTGTTCATCTTCCGAGGACGTCACAGCCTGAGTGTCTTCCCTCATATTTCGTGCTCTTAGTTTCCTGTAGGAAGTCATCTCGTCACCGCAGGACTTCTCCCCATCTGCTCAGGATTTCCCTAACGGCCTTCTGGAAATCCCTCTTTGTGTCTCGGAAGAAGTAATGGGAGAAAAAGTGTCCTTTCCTCGTGATAGGAAAAGACTTCTCTGCGAAGCTAGAAAGAGATCCACTCGCCAAACGAGAGGACGTTCCCAAACTGGTGTCTTGGGTGACGTTATACCTGTTAGTTTCTTGAGACTCCCTGCCACTTTCTTGTCCAAAGCGTCTCAGTCTATTGCTGTCCTCGAAACTGCAATCAAGATAAGGCGTCTTTGTCCCCGACGTGAAATCACGAGAGAAATGACGAGTTTCCTCGGACTGAGATGTCACATACTCGTTCAGTCCATTTTGGTTTTCATTCTTGGTCTCAAGCAGACGTTTTTCAGCAGGAAGTGAAAGTGATTCCGACTGAATTATTTCTTTTGTGAGGCTGCGTTTTGCTTCAGTTTTAATGGAGTTTTCAGCAGTATTTGCCTCGACATTTCCTTCCTGCAAAACAATAACTCAATATAATATTTGCGCAGTGTATGACTTTTTTTTTTCTTTATTCATTGGTGATTACTCCCAGCAAAAGATATATCAATAATAGAACTTAGAACCTTCCTTAAACATCACAGTAACTGTGAGGATGCCATCTAATGACATGACAGAAGTGATCTTAGTAAACTGTGGAAGAGAGAAGCGACGTCTGAAGGAGTAAGAGGTTTCGGATGAGGTTCCTTCTTCCTTCTTCACCACAAGTCCCTCGATGACCAACTCGTCGTCAACGACCTTCGCTTGTACATCTCCACTCATGAAATCATGAACGTCCACAATTATCTGGAAGTAATAGGTAGCTTTTTAAATGGCAACCTACTTTTGAAATGTTATTTCGGGAATCGTGGGAGTAATTTATTTAGTAATAATATTGATATTACTCAAAATGACACGAAAAGTAACAATGACAATAATGTCGACTAACCTTCATACAAGACTTGTCTGATGTGACGATAGCGGCCTGATTCTCTTCCCTCAGATCGCGACACCGAAGCTGCCTGTAGCGTTCCAGGATATCGGTGTGGCGGAGGTCAGTGTCGTCCTCAAAGTTGTCTTGATTGCACCTGCCCAACACCTGCCTGAGAGCGGCACTGAAGTCTCGGTGAGCGTCGAGGAAGAATGAGTCTTGGAAGAAGTTTCCTCTTTTGGTGATGAGCAAGAGTTCTTCTGGCGAATCTCTGTGAATCCTCCTTGTTCCTTTCAAGGATTCGACAGCTTCTGCAGACTCTTTTGCAATTGTCGTGGATGAAGTAATGTTGTATTGGGTTGGATTCTTTGGTTTCAAGTCGTTTCTTCTAGGGCCGACACAATCGACGGCTTCCTTTTCTTGGTACAATCTCTGGATAACTGCACGAATTTGTGCAACTCTCAATGGCTGCCGACTGAGTCCTTTTGCTGTCGAGTGTTTCCTCAGGGATTGTTGGTGATTAAAGTTCTCTTGAACTGCTGACTCGTTCTCATACTTATTTTGCCAAGAAAATTGTGCAAGTTCCTCATCCATAGATTGGGCTTTTGCACAGACGCGCATCCAGTTACATCGAAAATGGTTGAACACTTTGAGTTCTGAGCTTCTGACTCATTCTGACCCTCAACAACAGTTTCCTGTGAGTCTTTCCCATCAAGAATGTCAACAGATTCCTGGGAATTTTGAAGATGAAGAATTTCAACAGCTTCTTCTGAGACTTTCAGATCCAAAAGTTCAGCAGCTGCCTCTGAATCTTTTTGATCGAGAATATTAACATATTCCTGGGAATCTTGAAGATCAGGAATTTCAAGAGCTGAACCTTTCACTTCAAACAATCTTCCTGCGAGTCTGTAAGATCAAGAATTTCAATAGCTTCTGAGCCTTTCGCTTCAACAATGGCAGCAGATTCCTGTGAGTTTTTCAGCTCAAGATTTTCAGCAGTTTCTTCTGAGTCTTTTAGATCAAGAATATCAACAGCCTGTTGAGAGTCTTCAAGATGAAGAACTTTCACAGTTTCGGAATCGTTTTCATCTTCGGGAATGGCAGACAGAAGAGAATCCTGGGAGGAAGTTCCAAAGTCACGAGAGGCAGACAAATTGCCAGACGTTTCAGTCATGGCGATCGAACCTTTGTGACACAAGGAAGCCTCTGAAATTTCTGCAAACTCGGAGCAAGACTCCATTTCATCAGACACAAAAGTTGGAGAATCAGTCATCACTTCTTCAGGTACAATAGATTCTACGTTGCGAATAGTTTCTTTGCTTTGATTTTCACTTTCTACAAACTCAGTGTCATGACTCGATCTTGCTGCAGAATCAGTTGACAGAAGGAATTCTCGGGCTTTCTCAGATTCCACCGAGTCCATGCAGTCATGTGTGGCTTTGCTTTCTTTTTCACATTCCTCATGGAGGGAGATGGTTTCATCAGCTGGGTATACCGAGCGTTGAACTTGAGAGGATTTTTGAACTTCCTCAACGGACCTGATCACTTTGTGTTCCTCCGGTTCTTCTGCCTGTTAAACAATTTAAATATAAGCTTAAAATTTATACTTGATCTTATAAACAGAAACACGAGTGAGTGTGTGTGAGTGCGCACGTGAGTATGTGTGTCAGAGAAAGAGGGTGCTTGTGAGTGTCTCCGATGTGCACATATTTATTTCTAACATCTTTTTATATTCTTAGTACCTGACATTTTCATCTTTGTAACATATAGCATAAGTAATTATCTCCAGATAATCCTCACATACCATTTTTGAAGCGCTGATTGTAAGAATGCCATCTGAAGACATGATGCATGTGATGGCTGTCATGTCAATGTGCTCTGGCAAGGAGAAGCGGCGTCGGAAGGAGTAGGAGGACACGGATGAGCTTCCTTCTTCTCTCCTCTCCACACGACCCTCCACCACCACCTCCGTCTCGCCCGCCACCTTCACCTTCAGATCCCCGTTCATGAAGTCTTGGACGTCCAACACGATCTATGAAAATTGATGTATATTAAACAATAGCCATAATGCTTACATCTGGATATCATATTCGAATTAATAAATGTTCACATGAGGAATACATGTAAACAGTTGAAGGTAGATTGAAAAAAAATATTAGGATTTATTGATCTTCAAAAGGCGTTTAAACAAATTGTATTAGTAAGAGTGATTCTTGAATTATTTACCTTGTAACTAGTGTTGTCGGACGTGACGATAAAGACTTGGGTCTCTTCCTTCAATTCTCGGGATCGAAGCTGTCTGTAGCGGTCCAGGATATCGCTGTGACTAAGGCCAAGGAAGTCCTCACTGTGTGTCAAGTCGCTGTCTTCGCTGACCCACTTCCTCAGGACCTCTCTGATGGCAGCGTCGAATTCTTGGCGGACATCGAGGAAGAAGGAGTCCTGGACGAAGCTTCCCCTTCGAACGATGGGCAAGATTTCCTCGCCCAGTATGATGGCTTCTGTCGAATCAGATTCTGATTGCACAGTTGCTTGTTCCTGTTGTTCAGAAACTGAATCATCATAAGAGGCCTTTTCAACGACTGTCGATTCAAGAGTTTCAGCCAATCGCATGAGTTCATGGTCATGAATAATGGGAACGTCTCCACGAACAGAAGCAGTTGTAGACTCATCCACAGACGGATTGTGGCAGATCTTGGACTTTAAAACTTCCTTGGATTCAGCAGGAAATTCGAATTCTTTCCTCAGCTTTCTCGTCTTGTTCTCGTACGAGTGTTTTCGTTCACACCCAAACTCCATCTGATCCACATTAACAAGATTCTCGTGAACGGAGATATTTTTCTCCGTCGTGGACGAAACTGCTTCGGGTGTTGAGTCGTGAGCTGTTGATGATTCCTTCCTTTCCTCGGTCGCGGAGAAGTTAACGAGTGAGTTTTGCTGTGGTTCTCCTGCCTGAATGAAACAAAAACAGGGTCATGTAGATACTTAATAAGTTACATTGCAGTGTGATTAACATGTCAGGTCTATATTTTTTAAGCATGATTATGTAATGTAAACATAGGTTTATTAAGTTATCCTAACATAAAAAGTAAGTTATTTACCATTTTGAGAGCAGTTATTGTGAGGATGCCATCCGAAGACATGACAGAAGTGATGCGTGTCATGTCAGTGCTGTGAGGCAGGGCAAAGCGGCGGCTGAAGGACCGTGTCGAGACGGACGACCCTCCTTCCTCCTCCTCCGCGCGCCCTTCCACCACCAGCTCCTCGTCGACGACTTTCACCTTGACGTCTCCGCGCATGAAGTCATGCACGTCCAGCACGATCTATGAGATTGAAATTGAATTGAATTTGCTTGATTTTTAAGTTAATGAAAATATGGTCAAAATATAGTGACAGGACTGATTATTATCTTAATAATTGTTGAAATGAAACAACAATTGATAATGAATTGATGAAATATTGATAATTGCAATAATGATAGTAATGATAATGATAACAATAATGGTGATATTGAGAAAAAAAGAAAGAAAAAGCAGAATGAATCGGATAATGATGAAGCCCATAATAGTATGTGAAGATATTCTGCCACACTCAGTGAAGTTGTGCATATCAAGTATAGATAATCGTGTACCAAGAGAAAAACATCAAATACTTTGTAATCAATGAAAATATCTTGAATACTTTAGGCAATGCCGAGTGCTGATACACAGAGAGGGGACTGACCTTGAGGCTGGCACTGTCTGACGAGACGCAGAAGGCCTGGTTCTCTTCCCTCATGTTTCGAGATCGAAGCTGCCTGTAGCGGCTCAGGATGTCACTGTGACTGACATCGCCTGTCAGCGTGAGGTCGGAGTCGTCGCATTTCTTCAAGATTTCCCTGACGGAGGCGTCGAAGTCTCGGCGAATGTCGGAGAAGAACGAGTCTTGCAAGAAGCTTCCTCTCCTCGCGATGGCCAAGGAATCGTCTTGCGAACTGCCAAGAGTTTCCTTTGCTTCCAGCGAGTCGAAAATTCTTGTGGAAGCGAAATCTGAGATCACAGACGACTGCTTCTGTGATGATTGTTGGGAGTTGCTTGAGATACTGGATGCTACAGTTTGGGTCTGTGGATCGTCGATTGCTCCTGAATGGCATCGCGTTCTTCTGATGTTTGCGTTCCCCTGGTTGGGCTGTGTGGGACGTTCTCTGGCCAGACGCGTGCTTCCTCAGAAACTCCCGAGGTCGTCGAGGAAGTTGAGCTGTGAACTTCTGCATTGTGGTTTCCTTGAGGCTAATGGAGGGATGTGACAGTCGCCTTCTGTTGTGTTTCAGTCTCCTGTTGGTTTAGGATGTGGCGTATTTTACCATGCGGAATGCCGTCTACATTTAAAATGAGTCAGTTTTATATAAAATCAGAAAAGCGATTGATATAATACAAAGGAGCTAGGACAATACCTTTCTTGGTCACAGTTATTGTGAGGATGCCATCTTGTTGAACATGAAGGCCGTGATGGATGCCAATGTCAGTGGACTCAGCGCAAAAAGCTGCGTCTGAAGGTGCGGCGAGGACCGGCCGAAACGTTGCCTCCACAGCAGCTCCTTCGCCCATCAGCTCATTCCTTCACATCTCCATCCACAAAGTCATGCAATGTCAACAGCGATCTGTGACATATTCCGCTATCAGTAAACAAAAAGTTTCCCATTCGTGATGAAACGTAAGAATTATTGGTTATATTTTTCAACATATAGATAAATTTAATAACAGTGTGCAGTCTTCTTGCTACTTACCTTATAACTAAGATATACCGAAGTGACTAAAACGGCTGGTTGTCAACTTCCACAGGTTCGCGCGATCGCAGCTGTCTGTAGGCGGCCAGTCTGTCCGCTGCGGTGGAAGTCGTCCTCGTCCCAGAAGTCCGCCAGCTGGAGGTCGGCGTCAATTCCAGCCGTTGAGGACCTTTCCTGATGAGGCGTCGAAATTGCAGTGTAAGTTTAGAAGAAATGGAGTCTGGAAGAATCTCCCCTTCGAGTGAATCGGCAAGAGAGTGTCTCCTCGAACCCGCGGTGAAAGTCCTAGAGGAATCAGCTGTTCCTTTGGTCCCAAAATGCATGATTCAGTTTCTTTCGTGCAGAAGACGAAGCGTTCTGAGTCTTGTCTAAGACTTGAGCTGTGTAGTTTCGATTCGTCGTTTGATTGCCATTGTGTGTTCGAGTTTGGCTGATTATTCATCACATGTTTATTCCAAAAGTGGGAAGTCTGAGTGATGATATTTTACCTTTCGTAGAGTCAGTTTTCTAGTGAGAGCAGAAGTTATACATATATAATTGATGTTAATCAGTATATGTATTTTGTACCAGATGGGGTTCTATTTTGATATACTGTATAAAACATTGATGCTCTTTAAATAGGAGCATACAGGATTGATAGGTAGATGCGCAATGAGCTCAACTCAACTTGTGGCGCAGAATTGTGAAAAGAATTCTGCATCTGTGGGACAATGAAAACGGGACGTGATCGACTGCCTAATGGTACCTGTGTGTCGAGGCAAAAAAGAGAAGTAGCGTCTCGAAAGGAGTGTGAAAAGACGATAGACAGGCTTCTTACTGTCCTTTCTTCTCCAACTGTGTCCTTTCACCAAAAAGCAGCGTGCCTCTCTGCGTCCAACATTCACTCACTCCAAACAGGATTAGGAAGTATCTCCTTCGCAATGAGTACGATGCACGTAACATACACAATATTGGAAAGCAGAATTTAGTATTCTAATGATTTTAAGCTCTTTGTGTGAGCTCTGTGCTCTGCGAATTTAACACACTAAGGTATAATGCCGTGTCTTGTTTAACAGACAGTTGTTATATCGATCTCACCTGGTGAGTTGGTTTTGTCAGAATGTGACTGTTGGACAGCCTTTGGTTCTCCCTTTACCTTGAGTTTGGCGAGAAGATTCGGAGAAGCTGTGCTTAATCGCGGTGCAGCATAATTATCCGTCGGAAGTAGGCCGGTCGGAATGTCGTTTTCGCTTGGAAAAGATTACGTGCCGCCACTGTACTCATCTGGCCCAAGCACCTGTCTCCCCTGAACGAGAGGAATCAAGAGTCCTTGTGTTGTGTCCTGAAAAGCGCGTCTTGGAAAGAAGCATTCCATCTTGCGATCTGATGCGGAAAGTGTTGCATGTAGAAAACACCCAACGCCTCTGGCTGCTGTGACCTTTCAGCTGTCGGAAGCAAAACTTTGTTTCCGCGTGGCCTGAACGAGAGACTGGTCTAAACGTCGTGAGGAACATTCCATCTGAAAATGGCGCCATTTCAAAAGAGTGAAGATGTAATGACACTTGTGTGCTATAGACTCTGGAGATGGAATCGTTGGAGGTGCACGAGATGTTGCGAATTAGTGAAACTGAAGGTACGTTGGGAAAGGACAGCTAAAGAGTCTAGTATTTAAGATAGGTTAGATTTCGACTTGTTGTTAGAGTTTGGTTTCTATGAGCTAAATTAATGCCGAGCGAGTAGGTGATCGAGTGGGCAAAGGAGGCGACACTTGCGAGGCAGGTAGACAGATCTGTTTGGCGCGCGGACTGCGATAAAGTCGCATGAGGATGGTAAGTGAATAGGGCGCGCTGTGACGGGTGCCAGCATTCAGCGTTGGCCGGGCTTTCGGCGAGAATACGATTGCATTGCTTTGCCAAAAGGTCATGCGTTAATCGCTGGGGATATTGTCGGGGAAGTTTCGTCAAAAACTTTTCGCGAATACGTTTTTATTGATGTGTTCACTGTGTGTATCTACGTGGTGGTCAAATTTTAGCTGGATATCATATATATGTATATTTAATAGTATTGTGTGCTGTGTGTTGTGTGTAAAGTTGCATATATTTGTTGTTAATTGCAAACACGCTCGCTCACGCCATGAGTAGTGAATATAGAGTATATATAGTATATAGTATGCATAATAGTGGTATATATAATATATAGTCGTCATATAGTTAGAATGCATGATATATATAGTATGGTATATATAGTATAGAGCCGAGTGATATATACTGAGTATAATGTATTTGATAAATTAGTATTTTGTATTAGTATAATATCTGTATAATATAAAGTTTGTGTAAGAATATAGAGTAGGCACACACTGTGCGCAGCATGATGATGAACAAGTGTAGAATTGAAAGGTATAATGTCACCCCGTGAGAATAAGCAGTAAGTATTTATAGTGTAAATATGGTTACTAGGCTAGTATACTGTGAGTACGGGCAAGAGGTATATATAATACTTTTTGGCAGTAGCAAATATATACGTTACGACCTATTTGTGCGCGAGTGTGGTGTGTGTGTGTTGAATCTGTGTTGTGTCGCTGTGTGGTCGTTACTAGAGGATCGAGCATATGGAATAACCTATGTAGTAAGCTTAGCGGTAGGAGTGAGGGGTATAGTATAATGGAGGGGTAGTGGTGGGTGTAGTCGATGTGTGTAGGGGTGTGCTGTTGGTGCTGTGTGTGTTGTTGTGGTTAGTGTGTGTGTGTGTGTTTGTGGGTAAAATTGGCATATGCATCTATATATACGTTCTATTAGAGTAGTATTAAGTTATTTGTTAATAGAAATAATTAAGTAGATATGACCAGATATGGTAACATGAAGGCGCTATATATAACGTATGGTAGAATGCATATATATTGAGTGCTCTTACACTGACTCATTTAATATATATATTATAATAATAATAGTGAGAGGAAGTATTTGGGTGGTGTGGGTGTAGTTGTGTTGTGGTGGTGCAGTGTGTGTGTGGTGTGTGTGCCGTGTGTGTGTGTGTAAAATGAATATATTATATATAATAGTGATAGCAATAATATTAATATAAAATGCTAAGAATGCATATACATAACCTTACATAATAGCTATATTATATATAATATGATAATATAGTATAGTATATACACATGACGAGTGTGTTATATTATACTAATTACTATGTGTGTGTAATGTATATATATTAGTGGAGTGTGTGTGTGTGTTTGTAGTGTAGTTATAGTGTGTAGGTGTGTGTGCCGTGTGTGTGTGTGTGTGTTAGTAGTGTGTTGAAGTATTATATATATAGTTATATAATTATATATATATACTAGAGATGTGTGTGTGCCATATAATTAATATCAGATAACACATACATATATAAAGAGAGAGGACAGAGCGAGAGGTATAGAGAAAAGTAGTATAAATAGAGAGTATAAGAGAGAGAGAGAGAAAAGGATAGAGATATACTAGATATATTAAGATTATAAGATTGATTGTGATATATATAATAAAAATATTTCTAATAGATTATAATAAAGTATATATATTTTACAATACGCGTACCAATTAACAATTATAATGTATATATTAAAAGCATATAATATAATGTATAATATTATACATAATTATATATAATAGATATATATATATAATAGTATATAATAATATATATAATTAAATATTTATATATTAATTAATATATTAATATTATATATATATTTATAATAATATATTAATATATGTATAATATAATATATAAATATAATAGTACAGATATAGAACTTCATTGATTGTGAACGAAGATGTGACTAGATATCCAAAACTAGCAAGATTGTGTTTTGGAGAACTGAAGCAATATATGCCCCTTCACCTTGAGTAACTATTACAACCCTAGAATCCAAATGATATTTCTTTCTCTTATCGTCATTAGTCGTGTAGTCGGGCGTCGGATTCCTCCTAAACTGCAGGGCGTTGGGGGCCAGCCTTCGAGAGAACCATAGAAGTAAGGCAAGAACGCATGTAAATCATATCAAACCCAGTCTGTTCTCACCGCTCCTTCCGTCCACATCCCAAAGTGTGAGAGCCGAGAGGAAGAAAGGCTGGCCTTGTGTCAGTCCTGAACGGCCTTGTCCTCCGTCTGTCCTTCCCTCCTGACCCCTTTCAACTGCCATCAGACTACAGCGATCTAACGCCTCTGGCATCTTGCAGGTTTACTCCTCGTCGTTGACTCACCTTTATCCTTTTCGCCATAACACTTCATCATAGTGCTGCATGGCCTCTGACGTGTGGCACATGCATTCGCTTTGACCATTTACTGTTGTGAGAATCCACAAACATCGCCTGATTATAAAGGAGAAGAAGAAAAAAATCTTTTCAGGGGCTTTGCCTCAAGTCTCACCCTTCGCTATATTTTGAGTATGCCGCTAATGACCTTCGATGTTGACGCGGCAGAAAAGTTTCATAAATCCAAGAAATTATGATAAAGAAAATAACATCTTGATGATAATGATAATAATGGTTAGTGCTTCTTTACGGAATCGTATATGCATGGTTTCTTTTTCTTTTGAATAATAAATCATATGAAACATTAATGACAACCATTTGTTGCTGCCTTGTTTGGTAATCAAAAAAGACTAAAGAAGTCATGACAAAAAATATATAAACCGTTTCACTGCCAATTTTGGAACAATGTGCCTTAACAAACTTCATTGATTGTGAACATGATGTGACTAGATTATAAATTAGCAAAAATATGTTTTTTGGAGAACTGAGCAATATGCTGTCACCTTTAGTAACTATTACAACCCTAGAATCCAGATGATATTTCTTTCTCTTATCCGTCATTAGTCGTTAGTCGGGGCGTCGGATTCCTCCTAACTTGGGGTGTTGGGGCCAGCCTTCGGAGAACCATAGAAGTAAGACAAGAAACACATGTAATCATGTCAAACCCATTTACTGAAAGACGCAGTGTGGCCAACCCGAGAAAGGCTCTGTTCTGTTCTGCTTTGAACTCATTTATTAGATTTATTCATTATTATATCTAATAATTTTCACTGTGTCAGTCAGATGATCTCCCCTGTAACTGTGAAGTAGTGATGGGCAAATCGGTCATTTTTAGACTTATCTTTCTTTTCTTTTCCTTACCCGCTTTTTGATCCTTGATCATCATGCCTATCGGATAATTAGGATCAGGGTAATTGTACACCAGAGTAAGTTAACGTTTTATTTGCATATACAAATAAACTTTTTCTCAAAATAACATGTAAAAGTACTTGTAGTAAGGAATGTGATTTCAGAAAACAAATACTCTTCCATACAAAATTAATGTGTATATATCACAAAATAATCGCTTATTGAGTAAATTTTTTTTTTCTTTTTATTGCATTTATAATTCCTGTAAGGACCACTCTAATATTGCCTTCGCATAAGAGCGGATGGGTAGCGGGAGCGAGAGCCGGTGCTGAAGGCCCGAGAACTGGCTCCTTCCCAATCCGCGAGGGAGTCCTTCG